ACTAGATAATTAATTATTAGCAAAGCTCTTGTATTTTATTTAAAATTAAAGAACACTCAATATTAATAAATAAAGCAAACTGAACATTTGCTCAACAAATAAAATTATTTTTAATCCGTTTAAATATAGAAATGAATGATACATAGATTAAATGAGTGTTTCATTTTTGTGTATGCAATTGCAGGCACGTATAAAATAATTAATTTTTGATACAATTTTAAATACGCTAATTAAGCAAGACCCGGGCATTTAATATTCATTATATTTTCTAATAGCTTTTCAGTTTTAAATTATTAATGCATTTACTGCATTCGAAACTAAATTATACTTCATTTATTGCCTGAGATGAACATTTATTATATAGTTGCAATACCACAAAAGTAAATAAATAAATTAATAACTAAACACTCGAAGTTTAATTTAATTTATAAAAAGCTACAATGTTTTGTAAATTGCTAGTCCATTGTTTAAAAAAATTAATGAATTATTTCATTAAGTATTTAATATCGGTATATCTAAATTAAAAATAATGTCTAAACTAAGTTTGCGCATAAAATTCTGTATAAAGCCCGGAACACTCTGTATAAAGCACGGTCATAAGTCGAAAAAAATAAATTGGTTAGAAATAGGAGGTTCTTATGAATAATTTAGTAATCATTTACTTTACAAATGACAAAAAATTTTTAAAATACCCTTGATTTAGTGAAATAATTATAATAAGTCATAGCGCATACCATTATCTTTTCTTATAAGTTAATAATATATGTTGATCTGTAAATTAAATTTTATTAAAATTGAATAAAAGGTATATACTATATTTATTAAAATTGAATAAAAGGTATATTCTGCAACATTGCTGTTGTAGAATATCTTCGTGGATTTGAGGGGGGGGGAACAGTATTTTTAATTCGGAATCGTAGCAGTGAATAACAATAAATATAATTTTGGTACGAAAGCGAAATCGAAATTAAAAAAGGTCGAGTATATTTTAAAATTTGCATTACAGAAACACGAAGTTATAATTTTCTCTCCTTAAAAATGTACTTTTAAAATAACAGTCTTTTTTTAGAAGATCATATTTTGATAAACATAATTTAAATAATTAAACCTATTTATTTAAGTTATAAAAGCTATGTGAGGCTTTAAAATGAATGTCCTACCTCTATGTTTCATCATAAAAAATGCATGGTTTGAAGACAATAAAACATGACTTTCAGACTTTATAAAATGATTATTCTGGATTATTATAGTCGTAGCAACCGAAATTATGAAGAACGGTGCTTTCATATAGCGCAATTAAAACCATAAAACTTTACATTCGCCGCCATAAAACTATTTCGAATTACTAAACCAAAATATGTTTAATGCTCTTTTGCATTTCGGTAGTTATTCTTTTGTTAAAGCTAAAATGCATAGAAACTTGCTTTTACTACATAAAGTGAGTACGAATAATATGCAGGCAAACTCAGAGAAATATGAGAAAAAACAAGTAGCATAATAAATTTACTTACATTCTATATTTAAATGTTTCAATACATAGACGCCTTCCATGCTACCGACACGTGAACCTTTATGCTGGAGATATTTTGCTTAATCTTCCTTGTGTCAGGGACGCTGAATTATCCACAGTTGAATTTTGTAAAGCTTATATGTAATTTTCAGATACCAAATATATTTGTTTATTATTTGTATTTTTCTTAATATGAGACTTCTTTATTTAGTTTCACTGTTTATTTACAAATTTAATTAAAATTATTTTTATTGATATCACATATTACTTTTCAGTTTCATTTATAAAACATAAAGCAGGCCATTAATTAAAATATCTAATGTGGACACTATATGACTTCTTGTACGGTCTGTTAAATTATATATATTTTTTTCTGCCGCATTTCATTTAACCTTAATTTCTCGAATTTGATTCCTCATTCATTTAATTTCGGTTCTCACTTCCCGGCAAGGCAAAAATACATAAAAACTCAAAACATCTTCATTCAAATACAGTTAAAACAGCTAAAAAAATTATTTTAACAATTAAAATTAGAGTTTCCACGCGAAATAAAGAAATTCGGGTAGCAGGTAGAAAGATGTTTTCGGTGCACAAAATTGAAAGTTTATTTTCGGTCTCACTCGGCAAAAAGACACCGAAGCTGGTGCGCAGACTGACATATATATATATATATATATATATATATATGCTTCCATACCTAAATTGAATATAGTGTCTCTCTGAAAGCTCTTAAAAAAGTACATTGTTAAACTATTCAGGATAATAAAATTTCTCACTTGAATCAACCATAAATAATTAAAACAAGCGACTTTTTTATTCCATACATATGACACTGTGGCAGGTGTCATAATTAAAGTATTACTGTGCCAAATGTTAAAATGTTGAGATGAAGTAGAATTAAATTAATGTCCGGTAATCAGCCAAAGAAAGAATACTGAAATAATAGTACTAACGCTGTGTCCGCCAATAACCCAATAAGTTAGAATATGAAGATACTTTTATGGTGTGCTTTAATAACCTAATATTAAGTAAAATGAAATAGACTTGCCCATATATAGTACCAAAATAAGCTCAAAACAAATTTAACCTGTAAAAAACCAGTCTTATTTCAATCCTACAAATGCAGCAGAAATGTTGACATTACAAGGAATCATGACTTCAGTTACAATGGTTTTCGCTAATTCTTCCACGAGTTACACATATAAGGAATAAAAATGAGAAACTTGATAACATCACTAAATACGCGCGTAAAGTTTTGATATCACGTTAGCAATATAATCAGCACATGATGAGAGGGAAAATTATTCATCTATTCAAGCTGGAAGTCACTAGAAAAAGTAAGAGGGAATATCCGCCGACAAGGGCTGACTGCATGGCCCATATAAGGAATTTTCTGATCGGAAATAAATCGCTAAACATCACAACATAGGCTAATTAATCTTGACGAGCAGGGTATCAGTAGACTATAGGAGTAGATGAATATGAGAAATCACTGAGTATTTTTAAGGTATTATGTTTGATCAAAGGCACGAAAGAAATATTTCAAGATGAAGCAAGAGGAGAAAAATTACCGACTTTTTGCAGTCCTCATTCTCGCTTCCGCTGAACACATTGAAAGGTGAAGCGAGAAAGAAAAAAAGAGCGTGTAACCTTCTACCCCATCTATTTATAGTTTCTGTTGCGTCGTCTGTTGCTACTGTCGAAAACGGAATTCGGATTAAAAGTGAGGGCTTGTCATTACAGTAAGTATACACCGTGTCCGCAAATATCTTTACACTGTTTTTATTTTAGCAGAAGTTGGTCATAGACATATATTTCCGGTTACAAAAATGCTTTAAATAATAAAAATATTCGTGTTATGGTATTTTTAAGGTTTACAAAAGTGAGTTTTACAGTATTTGGGAAATTTAGCGTCATATACATTCCTCATTTGCTATAGATACATTTAGTAAGATTGTAAACTCATTCTAAAACCTAAAAAGCTCCCATACGACAATTTACAAATGTATTTAGTTCAAAACGTGAAATCAAATTCCCTAGAATATATTGGGTTGTTCTCAAGCTGAACAGCATAGTATTTAAAAATGTCCATAATTAAAAGTGAAATATCAGCTTAGAAAAAGGCTTTTGATACTAATACACTAAGTGATGATACTAAAACACTAAGTGATTATGTAGAGCGTCACGAAACGTTTTGATTTATGTAATCTTCCAATATTTGTGTTTTAAAGAAAAGTAAATGAATAAACACTTAAAAAATAATAGAATACTTAATTTAAATTTATCCTTGCTTTTATTCCACGATTCTCTTATTGTTTCTTCTCCTATTGCTCTCCAGGAGAACTGGGCTGTAATATCGAGACAGTGTCTTTTGTAGACGTGTCAAACACTACCAGGCCGAAAACTGCTCTTAGTGTGCTGAGAAGTGTGATTTAAAATTGAGTATTGGCTGGAGAGCCTAACTTATGCAAAGGGTAAGATTTCTTTTACACGTCTCTCAATTTTGCTAGCTTGCACATAAATATCTCATTTATACAATTAGAAAAAATTCATACATTATCTAATTCATAAAAATTAATAATATTTTAATAATAAATTATTAAATGCAATTGGAAATACATTAATAAATTCCATAACAATAATAACCTAATACTAACTAGTACAATCTGTGAAAAAATATTTGTCGCTAGAAAAACAAATAAATATTTTAAAATGTAGTTTTAAAGCTAAATGTTAAAAACGTTAATGCGACTAAAACTTTTGTGGATTAAAAAAGGTGCAGAGAAAAATAATTTTTTAGCTTAACCCTTTCACAACCAGTTTTTTCTTTTTAAAAAAAAAAGATAAATTAGGGGTTTATTAGGTAAAATAAAGTATAAATAGCAATATTCTGCCCAATTATAAGCAAAAATTTACTGTAAGGGCCATTTTGGAGGTGGGACATATGTGTCCCACTGGTCTTTTTAGTTGGGACACATGTGTCCCATTGGGGTTGAAGTGACAATATAAAACATAGTGAAAAGTTCAGTTTTCTAGTTCTAAATGAATTTCACAATACTTTTGAAACAGTTTTATCAAAAAACACCTACCTACACAACATTATTTATGAAATTTCTATGTATGGTACATTGCAAAACAGTTTTTACATAGTGCAATTTTACACATGGCGCAAACAGTTTTTGTTCGGGTTTCTTTATTTTGTTTGGCACAGCGGGCACATCTTCTTCTTGTTGGCCCTTCTAATGGCAAATGATCTCCAACGTTCAACATCAGTTTTGTTGCATTTGACGGTCGACCTGATTTCTTTTCCTCCTCTGACAATTGCATTTTCTTTGCCATGAGCAATCATTAATTCGGCTAGGGGGACAATGTATTGCAAGAGAGGTATTTTCCTATGTTTTGGTTTCTTGAAACAATATGTGTGCATTCACAACAGCTGTCATCAAAAGTTTATAAAATACTTTTTTTCCACCATTTTGTAGATCTTCTGTCAAAAATCATATAGGCATATCTTTTGATCAGACAAATCTACTCCTCCCATAAATCTGTTATAGTCGGCAATAGCGGTAGGACAATTTGTCATTACTTTTTCTCCATCTTTCTGCTTGCGTTTTACTTGTATGACATCAGGTCCGTGGCAATTACTCAGAATCAGAACTTCCTTTGAATCTTGCCATCTTGCTGCAAGAGTTCCTCTTCTATTCTGGAGAAATTCTGAATCACCTTTTTGAAGTTTTTCGTCAGAGAATTTTGGCATGTCTTTTCTACGAGAAATACAAGTACCAACAGAAGTAAAGGATATGTTATCCAATAAGTTTACACTTGTAAAAAATCTATCAAATGTAAGTGTAATATCTGGGTTACGTATTGTTAAGGAAAGTTTTAGAACAACTCTTTCTCCAAGTATTGTACCCTCATGATCTGTATTATCCATGTCTTTGCCAGAATATATATTGAAGTCATAGGTGTAGCCCGTAGCAGCATCACATCTCTCCCACACTTTGATTCCCCGTTTTATTGGCTTTAGGGGTAAATATTGCTTTAGGCTAGAACGACCTTTGAATTTAGCCATGGATTCATCGATGCTTTGAAAGGGACTATCTTCGCGAGCTTGCATAAATGTCCTTTTGAAACATGCCACCACTTCATCCATATAATATGTCTTTGGAGCATTCGCATCTTTTTCTGGATCATTGAAGTACATTTTTGCAAAGAGCAATAGGCATCTGTTACGGGAAATCGCAGTTTTGATAGCTTCGTTTCCCAATGAAGAATTGCTGGACCAATAATCTGAAAAGTTCGGTACTTGATTATACGACATGACAAGCATAACTCCCAACACAAGCATAATTTCTGAAGGGTCTGTGTCAGGAATATTTACTTTTTTTTTTCATGTCTCAGTATTTCAAGGCGCTGGTTGGTACATTGAGAAATAAAAATAAGAAGACTTCGTGGAAATACACATGAGAAACATTCTAATTCATTAGAGGATCTGTTGATTTTGGCCAGTATTGCAGTTGGACGGTCTTTAGATACATGGAGCCGTGGCTCAAAATTTGGACCAACATTTGACCAAATGACAGGATCAGTAGGTTTTGAAATAGTTTTTTTTTTTTTTTTATGTTTATTTTTTGCCTTGCACTTATATTTTGATACCTGCTCCGCTTCATCGGGTGAGAAATCATCAGAGTCCGAGTCAACGGAGGGTTCTGATGAATGCTCAAGACATGACAGCTTTCGTTTCGGTGCCCTTGATGTTCCTGAATTTTCTCTCAATTCTTCACAGCTATCACTGTCTGAGGAACTAGGGACATATTCCTTGTCTATATCTGAATCGTCCAATTCATCATTTGAATCCGGTTCATTCAATAATTTAATTATTTCTTCCTTTGTCAATCCCTTCCTGCGATTCATGATATTGCTATGCCTAAAAATACAGAAATGACCACTTTGAGAATGAGGCATAGATATATTTCAATAACCACTGGGACAATAATGTCCCAATAAAACAGACCATTGGGACATATATGTCCCATAATATTATTTTTTTTTCAAAATCTACAATGAAAATTCACTTACTTCAAATAAACTGCTTGATATAACAAAAATAGACAAAAATCACATACAACGAAAACAGCACGTGTGTCCACTCATGTATCTTCGCCTAAAATGGCTGCCAGAATGTCCAAACTTTCCCGCTTGTCAAAACTGTTACGATAAAACAAAGAGCTCACAGGGCACTAGTGTCATCTATCGAGAAAAAATTACACTAAAAGATAGATGTAATCACAGGAAACCAGTGGGACACTCGCGGCAATAAATTTTACGCTTGTTTTTCCCATTGGGTGATTTGGAAACATTTGCGGGACATATATGTCCCGGTGGGGCCGAAAGGGTTAAAATTAATTGAAGCATAATCCGGGAACATTTTCTTCAGGTAAGTCTTTAGGAAATTATGGGGGAGGTAACTGAAGTCGTTTTTAATAGGTATAGTAGGTAAAGAAATTGGCAAGGCGAAATACGTCTGGTTACTACAGCTTGCTCATATCACTCATGCGAGCTATCAAGATGCTCGAAACCAAAACTTACCCTTTATTTAGTAAAATAATAGCACGAAAAAATTAAATATTTTATTCAAAATTGTTACGAAATGTAAGACTCAAAACAAATTGTCTAACTCAACTACGATTAAAAATCTATACCGCATAAAAGATCTAGATATAGCCTTTTATAAAAATCAGCAGTTTAATAGTGTAATTTAGATTGACAAGAGGTGCTAAATTAGCTTCTAAATTTTCGTATGAATTTAGTTTTTCTATTACTTAAGTTTTTCTGGGACTTTTGCACAGTTGTCATAATATTTACTTTTACAAAGGTTATTCACATCCAATTCATTATTCCAAATTGATTATGATTTAAAAATTTGATTATATTTTACGTTTAAAAATATTTGGCCACTAAATTAATGCAGCTTTCAGAGAACACCTAAAAACATTTTCCCAATTACTTAAATTACTGAAGTTTTTTATATATATTTTTCATTTAAAAAAGTAAATTGCAAAAAAGGAGTAAAAAAGTAAACATTTTTTCCTAAAATGTAAACTGCGCATTATCAAAAATAAATCAAGGATACAGCCATTAATCTTAAATTGGCTTCTATCGAAGTACAAGTTACAGCGTAAGTTAAAAAGAAGCATAGGTAGAGACAGAAAGAAACAGAGGGAAGAAAAAGGGGCTTGACCATGCTCTGGAGATACACTTTACATACTAATTAATTCAAGTATGCAAATGAATATATTATCTACATTAATCTTCTTGAAAAAACAAAACAAAAAAAAAAAAAACAGGTAAATTGCTAACAACATTTTTTGTGGTTAATTAAAGTAGCTGACAGCATTTTTGTTAATTATAAACTTTTTAGCAGGCCTTTTCTTAACTGTGATTCTGTGTTAACAGTATTACTGTTTCTAGTTAACTTACTTAAAGTCGAAAATACCAGAGAGGGAAACTGAAACTGGACAGAAATTAATGCGAATATTGTACTTCATACAATTCTTAGCGTAACTAAATGTTAATATCATAATCTTACATTTCATGCAAAAATAATTCTTTATAAGATTTAATGTCTTTTTGCTAATACTAATTTCTACCAATACGGTGTTCTTAAATTTAAAGAAACAGAAAGAAAGGTTACTTTCTTAAATAAATAGTGATTATTCCTTAAAATTATTTACAAGTTATTAATTCTATGACTGCGTATGATTTCTGTAAACGTCACTTGAAAAAATAATGTAATAAAATTTGAATTTACAAGAATCCTTGAATGAAAATCATTTTAAGAAGTCAAATAACACCGTTATGAAAAACCTTTAAACTTTTTACCCGAATAAATATCTGATCAGATTTAATATTCATTAACAAATATATATATATATATGGAATTTTCATATCTGAGCAAGAATTTTCAGAGGTTTAGACCAGAGCGAAGATAAAAGCGAACAATAAGGAGGAAATGAAATTGCCTTTTTATGTAGCACAGCATTATATTCGCATCCTTTAGTAGGAGGGAATCCTTTCTTGAATTAGGATTCCAGGAACCTGCAAATATTAAAAATATAACAGCCCACAAAAGTGGATACAAAAGTAATTGAATGATCTGGAGAATAATAAGATGAAAAATTGAAAATATTTTTTCTCTCTTTAAATTTTAAAAACGCACCGCAGTTATTACACAAACCAAGTAAAAAATAGAAAGCTCATCAAAGTATATGCCTTTTGGAGAACAGCGACTGAAAGCTCTCAAAATTCAGAAAAAAAGTATATTTTCGCTTCTGCTGAATTTATAGATTTTACCAGAATATAGGTAAAGGGCATCTGAAGCTTTATTTACGATACATTACTGTAAATTATAGTTATGATTATTGTAAATAATAATTACGAGAGTAAATTATCGTGCGAAATTATTGGAAGATAAATGTAACTAAATATCATTTTATTTTTTTTTATTTATTCATTTAGTATATCTAAATTTATTTAGAGATTGCTTGTAGCATTAACGCTTCAGCCAGTCTCGAACTATACTAGTTTTTTGTGCATGAGATGATGGAAAATAAGAATAAGAAATAATTTAAAAAATTTCTTAGTAAAATCATACATATCTAGTAAATACCAGGGATTATAATAAATTTACTCCACATGATGCATTAGTTTTTTCTTCATTTATTCATTTACGACGATTTTCGTTTTAAAAATCTACATTAAGTGCGTTATTATCGCTTCTAACGTATATGCTAAAATTCAGAACGCGCAATATGTAAATTCACGTATATCTTAGAAACTTTTGAATAAAAACTCTAATTTTTTGCAGCTATACAGAAATATATTTACTTTAAGATAATGTTAAAAATTTTGAAGGTACTTATACACAACTGTTTTTAGAAAAATTTATAAAAAATATTTAAAACTACAAATTGCAAAATAAATCATAAAAAATGTGCGGATTATATTTGGATTCAGCCTAAATTTCGAATTTTGGAAGAAGGATTCAAGTAAGTTTAATAAAAAAGAGATATTAATAAATATATATCTTATAATAAATATATACTTGATCTTCATTTATGCTTCAAAGTAATTCGCGTCTTCCATTAATTCGCAAAGATTATTGTACTTTGATCGCTGTTTTGGATTATCAAAACTCAATGATTTGATGGCTGTTTTGGAACCTTGACTCATCCGGAAATTAGCATTTACCGGAAATGCAAATTTTTCCCTTTCCGCATACGCATTTCTTACATTCGACATAACAGGTCATTTTGGAACCCATATTGTTTTGTGATAAAAAATACTATTTCCTTTACATCCATTATTAAATGAAATCAATATTGAAGACTTTGCAGACAAGAATGGTAATGAAATGTCTTAAGAAAGATAAACATCAACGGAACACACACACACACACACAAAAAAAAAAAAAAAAAAAAAAAAAAAAAAAACCGGAAATCGCTGAAAAAAATTTCGGAAAATTTTTGGAATAAGTGAATTACTTTCGTACAATAAAACAAACGATATATTTAATAATAAATATTCTAATTAACCTCGGCCACGACTGTCCGTTATTAAATGTACATGTGCATTGTGTCTGAACTCGTATGCCTATTTTAGAAATAAATGTGAGGTCTGCTGGTTGATTAACTGAGACTTATTTTGGTGATAGGTCTTTTATTACGACCACACTGGGAAATTATGCTAAGGCTTATTTCTGGTTTTGTCTTAGTTTCAAGGAAAGCATAAAACAAAATCCTAATATGAATTTGTAATAGCCTTTTAAATCTTTTTAAATCTAATGCTTTCCCTTTTTAATCTTCCTTCAAAATAGAGTAAATATTTAAGAAAACACCTGCGTTTGTCGTGCTTCAAGAATGTTTTGTTCAAAATTAAGCTTGTTAATCGTCTACAGTTCGCTATTGCTGATATATCTTTATACATAAGTTATGTCATCATGCATTATGTCTTTTGTCTTTAATATTTAAATCAGCAGCAATAGCGCAAACGACATATACTATATAAACTAAACATTATTTACTGATCTTAATTCATTTATTAATTTTATTTGCGAATATTATGAATATTGCTTTAAGCAAATAGTAAATTTCCCAAACGGAAAAGATCCGTTTTTGAAGCTGTTTTTACTTGCCAAGCTTGTGT